TCAAAGAAGAAATTTAAAATTTTTAGCAAATCCTATAGCCCGAAATTGACCAAACATGCAATCAAGATGCATTAAAGATAATTGGTGACAGAAATGCAAAAGTTGGAAACAATGAAAAAGAACAGTGATTGCAAAGTATGGACTTGGTGACAGAATGAAGCTGGAAAGAGAATGATCAAATTTTCTATTTTCAATGATTTATTGATTGCAAATACCTTTTTAAAAAAACACAATCTCTTCTTTACACATGAACTTCATCTGATGGACTACATAGGAATCAGAATGCCTCTATCCGTGGAAAGAATTATTGGAGAAACTCAGTATCAAAAGTCAAAATTAGGTGAGGGGTGTATTGTCGGTCAGACCATCAGTTACTCATGTGCATGTTCAACTTGAGGCAGAAAAAGAATGAAAACAAGTCCATGAGAACCAAAATATGACCTCGAATCAATTCCACCTCAATTTTAAAATCATCTTAGGAACTGGTTTGAAACAGCTGAATACCAATGACTGAAGACCAGATGAGCTGTGGGATGGTTATCAAGATATAATCCAATGAAGAGAGCAAAGAGGTCATTACAAAGACAGAGGTGGTTGTTGTTACGTGCCACTGAGTTGCTTGCGACTCATAGCGACCCTATGTACAACAGTCCTAAACTCTGCTCTGTCCTGTGCCAATCGCACTGTCTCTGATACACCTACCCCAATTACCCCAAGTCACTGAATCAATCCACCTCATAGAGGGCCTTCCCCTCCTGCGCTGTCCCTCCACCCTCCCAAGCATGATGTCCCTCTCCAAGGACTGGTCCCTCCTTACAACATGTCTAAAGTATGTCAGATGAAGCCTCAGAATCCTTGCCTCCAAGGAACAGCCTGGTTTAACCCTCTCCAGGATGAATCTGTTTGTTTTCTTAGCAGTCCATGGTACCCTTGCTACTTTTCTCCAGCATCACAGCTCAAAGGCATCAATTCTCCTTCTATCCTCCCTAGTCATTGCCAAACTCTCTGAAGACAGAGGAGAAAGAAAACACTGAAATGGATTTCAGAAGAAGACTCTTAAAATTGCACTGGAGTGTTGAGAAGCTAAAACAAAGGGAAAAGATGCCAAAGTAAAAGAGCTGAACAAAGATTTTTAAGGGCAGCTCAAGAAGACAAGGCAAAGTACTGTGATGGAATGTGCAGAGATCTAGAACTGGAGAACAAAAAGGGAAGAACTTGCTCTGCATTTCTAAAGCTCAGAGAACTGAGAAAGAAATTTAAGTCTTGAGTTACAATATTGAAAGATGTTATGGGCAATATATAGAATGCTACCCAGGAAGCATCAAAAGAAGATGGAGTGAAGAAATAAAACTGCTGTACCAAAAAGACGGATATGGAAAAATTTCAGGAAGTACCGTATAAGCAGGAGAGCCAATGGAAATGAAGGAGGAAGCAGAACATGTACTGAAGGCACTGGCAAAAATAAGGCCCCTGAAATTGATGGCATACCACTTGACTTGTTTCAATTTACACATGCAGCCCTGGATGCACTCACTAGTCTATGCCAGGACATTTGGAGGACAGCTGTCTGGTCAACAGATTGGAAGAGGTCCATATCTGTTTCTATTCCCAAGAAAGGTGATCCAACAAAATGTGGAAAACTATCAAAAAATATCAATACCACATGCAACCAAAATACTGCTAAAGATCATGAAAAAGATGGCTAGACCAGTACATAGATAGGGGACTTCCAGAAGCTCAAGAAGGATTTAGAAGAGGCTGTGGCACCAGGGATATCACTGCTGATGTCAGATGGATCCTGGCTGAAAGTAAAGAATGCAAAAAGAATGTCTATTTATGCTTTATTGACTATGCAAAGTCATTTGACTATGTGGATCATAACAAGATATGGCTAACATTACCTAAGAGAGATAAAAGCATATAAATCTTTACACAAATGTTATACTAGCTTTATTTGTAATAAACCAAAATTGGAAAAATTTTAAAAAAAAAAGATATGGCTAACAAAGAGAAGAATGGGAATTTCAGAGCACTTAATTGTGCTCATGCTAAATCTATACCTAGACCAAGATACTGTTGTGTGAACAGAGCAAGGGAACACTACATAGTTTAAAATTAAGAACGGAGTGTGTCACGGTTGTATCCTCTCTCCATACCTATTCAATATGCATTCTGAGCAAATTACTGAAGAAGCTGGACTTGATGAAGAAGAATGTGGTATCAAGACCAAAGGAAGACTCATCAATAACCTTGTTTGCTTAAAGTGAGAACCTGAAGCACCTGTGGCAGAAGATCAAAGAACACAGCCTTCAATATGGATTGCATCTCAACGTCAAGAAAACAAAAATTCTTACCACTGGAACTATAGATAACATGATAGATGGAGAAAAGACTGAAACTGTCAACAACTTTATCTTACTTGGATCCACAATCAACACCTTTGGCACTAGCAGTCAGAAACTCAGGAGAAAGTTCTGTACTGGGAAAGTCTGCATTTGGGCCCCTCTCCAAGTCATTGAGGGGCAATGATGTCAGGTTGAGGACTAAGTTGTGTGTGATTCAGGCCATGGTACGCATTCGAGTGCTGGACAATGAATAAAGATGACAAAAGAAGAACTGATACTTTTGCGCTGTGATACTGGAGGAGAGTACTGAACATCCCATGGACTGCCAAAAGGACAAATAGGTTTTGGAGAAAAGTACAGCCAGAGTGCTCCTTGGAGGCAAGGATGATAAAGTTTTGCCTCACATACTTTGGGCATGTTGCTAGGAGAGGTTATTCCTTGGAGAGGGACACAAGAGGCTATTCGTTTGGAAAGGCGGAGGGATGGAAAAGGAGACGAAGACTTTTAGTCTGTCAGGAAGTGTGAGGATGGCACAGGATAGGACAGGGTTCAGATCTGTTGTTCACAGGGTCATTATGGTATGTACTCGACTCAACAGCACCTAACAACAACAGGGGGCCCTGGATAGATAATCATCCCATACAGGGTTGACGACAAAGATTTAATTCTGCATAGAGAAGCAAAATAATGAGTTTTTCCTTGAAAGTGTGACTGCTTTTCTAAGAAACATTTGGTTACATTACACCTTTATAGAATGATACCTATTCCTTAAAGTGTACCACTTAATTGTCCTCTCTTTTTAAAAAATCTTTAGGTCTCAGGGAGCTCTGGTGGCCTAGTGGCAAGATGATGTACTGCAACCTGGAAGGTGTGCAGTTCTAATCCACAAAATGCTCTCCTGGAGAAGGAGGGGCAATCTCCTCTTGTGCCAGTTGGATCTGATTTGATGGTACACCACAAAGGGGGAGAAAAAGGAATTCTAGAATTCCAAAAAAGGGAAAAAAACCCAAACCAAATAAAACAAGCGTTAGGTCTCAATTTGAACCCTGGGATCACATATCTTTTGGAAACAACACTGAGAACTAGATAATAGGAAGAAGAAAAAAGTAGTGAGAATCACCTTTATGAAACTTTTGCCATCACTTTTAGCAACAGAGACTCCAACTCTCAAAGCTATGAAAATCAAGCCTGGAAATTGTGCATGATTTTTATAAAAAGTTCTGTTAAAATATTGAAATGATCACTTTTTATACTTTCAAAGAAAACATATTCTGAAGTATTTTTAACACAAGTTTTCTGAAGTATTTTTAACAGAAAAGTTTTCAAAGATTCAATAGGTAAAATATTAGAAGACAGTTTTAGAAGCATCTTAGAAATAAAACTTTTCTTAAAAATATTCTAAAATACATCTTTCACTACCTATTCTGAATGTAAAGTTAATTGTATTATGTTCTAGATTGACATTGTGTAATAATATAATAGCACTAGTTACATGTAGATTGAAGTTGTCAATGATGTCATCTTAGATCCATAATCAGTACCCTTGGTATTGTTGTTGATTGCCTTCAAGTCGAGAACAACTCATAGCAACTCTATGAATAAATGGCCTAAAGCCCCTCTACAACTATCGACATTTTCCAAAGTTCATAGAGTTTCTGTAGGCATGTTGCTCAGGAAGTGGATGCCACTCCTGCTTCCTTTGGTATTAGCACTCAAGAAATTAAAAGGTGTTATCACACTGAGAAAAATCTGTTGTCAAGGATCTCTCCAAAGTGCTAAAGAGCAATGATGTCAGTTTAAAGAATAAGGTGTGCCTGTCCCAAGACAAGATCTTTTCAACTGAAAACTGAAACTTGGACAATGACTAAGAATGACAGAAGAATCAATGACTGTGATTTGTGGTGAAGAAGAGTACTGGATATCCCATTAACTGCCAAAAGAATAAACAAACAGGTCTTGGAGAAGGTGCAACCAGGGTGCTCTTCAGAGGCAAGGATGGTGAAATGTCATCTCATATACTTTGGGAATGTTGTTAGGAGGAGTGAGTCTTTTTTGGAAAAAGATATGCTTGGAAAGGTGGAAGGCCGCAGAATGAGAGGAAAACCCTGGCTGAGATGGACTGACACAGTGACTGTATCAATGGGCTCCAGTATATCAGGGATGCTTAGCATGATTAGGGTCTCCATGAGTTGTAGTCAACTCAGTAACACTTAACAACCCAACAACAGTTACACATGGGCCCTTGCAGCATAGTCCTTAAGAGCTGCTAACTCCAGAGTAGCACCTTTCTGCTGGTTTGAAGCCACTAGCCCCTCCTCAGAAGAAAGCTCTGCAATTGCCTCCCATGGAATTTACTGCCTCCAGAGGCTTTCTAGAGAATCACATATCCATCTGTGAATTGCACTGACTTCACTGGCAATGAACAGAGTTGTGTTACATATAGTCATCAACTTTTCCATTTAACACAAAATCAAGTCAAAACGTTAAGTTCTTCAGTTACACTAGCAACATGTGACTACTGAGTATCATACAGGACCATGCAAATCTCTAACATTTTGCTCACTGCAGAAAATTCATCTAATAGCATAGTTCTTGATAAAAAACCTAAGCAGAGAGATAGAATGTTTAAATACCATTATGTTTAAAAGTCATTACCTGGTTTGAGAAGGTGTGGGTGTGTAAGGGGACTGGGCTGGCCCAAGCATCGGTTAGGAATCTTCTTCTTGGGGATAGGATGAAGGGAGTACTTTCGCTGTGAACATGACAGGAATCCTGAAGGAAAAAAAAAAGGATGAAATGGAACAGCGAATCTAGATTCTCCATGGTGGACAATCACCACTAGTAATTTGAGTTTGTTAAAATAATGCAAATTAGTATTTATGTCCTTCTACCTGTCAGTATTTTTGGGTTCCAAAGAGTATATGTCAGGGTTGTATTCTGTCAGTGTAATTATTTCACCAGTATGCTGAACAAATAATCTGAGAAGCTAGACTATAGGAAGAAGAACGTGGACAGCATGGCATCAGGACTGGAGGAAGACTCAACAATCTACATTACACAGATGGCACAACTTTGCTTGCTGAAGTGGAGAGGATTTGAAGCACTTACTGAAGGAGATCTATCAATATGGTTTACACCTCAACATCAAAATTCCTCACAACTGGACCAATAAGTAACATCATGATAGACGAAGTTGTCCAGGATTTCACCTTACTTGGAACAATAATCAACACCCATGGTAGTAGCTATTATTGTTGTTAGATGCTGTCAAGTCAACTAATACTCACAGCAATCTTATGATCAGCAGAGCTGAACACTGCCCTATCCAACACCATCCTCACATCTGATAGGCTCAAGATCATTGTTGGTTACTGTGTCAATTCATCTTGTTGAGGGTCTTCCTCTCTGTTTATGCCTTCCACTTCTCCCAACCTGAAGTCTTTTTTTCCAAGGACCAGCCCCTCCAGAAAATGTGTTCAAAGTATCTAAGGTGCATCCTGGTTGCACTTCTTTCAAAACAGATTTGTTTGTCCTTTTGGCAGTCCGTTGTTGTAATGTGCTGTCCAGTTGACTGTGACTTACACTGACCCGATCAGGAACACAACTAAGCCTTGCCCTATCCTATGACATCCTCATCATGCCCCACACAGCTGAGCTCACTGTTACAGTCCCTGGGTCAATCTATCCTGCTAAAGGTCTTCCTCTCTTATGCTAACCCTTCACCTTTTAAAACACGATGTCCTTCTTTTAGAACTGATCCCTCCTAACAACATGCCCAAACTACGAGAGATGAAGTTTTACCATCCTTGCCTCTAAGGAGCACTCTGACTGCACCCTCTCTAAGTCATATTTATTTGCTCCCTTGGCAGTCCATGGACTATTTATATTTAGTACTCTTCTCCAGCACTACAACTCAAAGGCATTGATTCTTCTTTATTCACTGCCCAACTTCAGACGCATAGCAAGTAACTTGAAAAGATCAGAGCTTGGCTTGGGTACACCTTAGTTTTAAAATGATATCCTTGCTCTTCAGCATTTTGGAGAGGTTCCTAATTGTTGGTACCAAGGGTATTGATTATGGATCTAAGTATGATGAAATAATTGACAATTTCTATTTTCTCCAATCTATCATGATGTTGCCTCCTGGCCCAGTGGTTAAGGATTTGTGTTTATTCTTGGTAAGATGTAGTCTATACTGAAGGATGTACTCTTTGATCTTCTGCAGCATATGGTTCAAGTCCTCCTCACTTTCAGAAAGTAATGTTGTATCATCTGCATAAAGTATGCAGTTGATGAGTCTTCCTCTAATCCTAATGCTATATTCTTCCTCATAAAGTACAGCTTCTTATTTTCTCAGCATAGAGACTGAATAGGTATATAGAGAGAATTTAGCCCTGAGGCACACCTTTCTTGATTTTAAACCATGCAGTGGTCCTTTGCTCTATTTGCACAACAGCTTCTTGGTCTAGGTATCGTATGAGCATAATTGTTTTGGAATTCCCTTTCTTCTCTATGCTAGGCATAATTTTGTTATAATCTACAGAATCAAATGCCTTTGTATAGTCAATAAAACACAAATAGATGTCCTTGCTGCTTCCTGCCAAGATCCATTGGACATCAGTAATGTTATCCCTGGTCTCTTAAATTCAGCCAGAGAAGAGCACTAAATATTCCATGAACTGTCAAGAGAACAAATATGTCTTGGAGAGGGTGCTTCCAGGGTGGAGGTCCCTGGAGGAAGGATGGTGAAATTTCATCTCACATTCTCTGGGCATGTTATTAGGAGGAGTCAGTCATTAGAGAAGAGCATCAAGCAGGTGAGGATGGCACAGGATCTCTGGTAGTTCCCTGTCAATGTACTGTTCTAGCTGTTTTAAAATAATCTTCACTATGATTTTACTTGCATGTGCTATTAATGATATTGTTCAGTAATTTCCACATTCTGATGGATCACCTTTTTTGGGGGGAATGGGGGGGGGGAAGTATCTCCTTCAGGCTGTTGGCCAGATGGCTGTCTTTCAAATTTCTTGGCATAGTCTGGTGAGTAGATCTAGAGCTGCATCTGTTTACTGAAACATGTCATTTGGTATTCTATCAATTCCTGGGGCCTTACTTTTGCCAATTCTTTCAGCGTAGCTTGAACTTATTACTTCATTACAATTAATTCTTCATCATAAGCTCTTCCTGAAATGGTTCAGTGTCTGTAAATTCTTTTTGGTATGGTTATACAGTGTATTCCTTCTACCTCCCCCCGCCCCTTTTGATGAATTCCAAATCATTCAGGATTTGCCCATGGCATTCTTCAGTATTGTAAACTGAGCCTTGATGCCCCCCCACCATTTGCTTTCCGCTTGAGGAATGCTAAGCAAGTTCTTCTCTTGTTTTCTAACTTAAGCTCTTTCCACATATCAGTCTAATGCTTTGCTTTGTCTTCTTAAACTGCCCTTTGAAATCTTCTGTCCATCTCCCTCATTTTGGCAACCATTCTTTGTTTTGGTTTCTTGACTTTTTACTGCAATTCTCAGAGTCTCTTGTGACATACACTTTGGTCTTTCCCTTCAACTCTTATCTTTGTAATGACATTTTGCTTTCTCCGTGGATGTTATCGTTGATGTCATCCCGTATAACTCAGCTAGTCTCTAAGGTTCAATGCCTCAAACCTATTCTTGAGAGGGTTTTCAAATCCAGGTTGAGAAGACTTAAGATTGTAATTTGGTTCTTGTGGATTTTTTGTTTTCATTTTCTTCAGCTTCAATCTGAATTTACACAAGAACAACTGGCTTGGTTTTGACTGCTAATGTTGTGTTGCTCAAATTATCCTTTCCATAAATGTTGTTAATCTGATGCCTGTGCATCCTGTCCATCAGGGAGGTCCATGAGTACAGTTACACTTGTGTTTATTTAAAAAACTACTTGCAATGGAGAAATCATTCCTTGTACAAGATTCTGTTAAAAGTACTACCCAATTAAAAAGAAAACAGTATTTCCCATTTTAAATATGAGATAACAGATGAACACAAAGTTTAAATAACTTGCTGGAAATCAGCAAGGATCCAAACAATAATCTCTTTCTATTACCATTTTGATGGTAAAAGAACAAAACTTAAAAGTTGACTATTCTAGGGGAGCTCTGGTGGCCTAGTGGCAAGGAGCTGCAACTACAATCCCAGAGGCGCACAGCTCAAACCCACCAGATGCTCTGCCGGGGAAGGAGGGACAATCTCCTCCTGTACCAGTCAGATCTGATTTGATGGTACACTCACAGAAAAATAATAAGATAAAATTAAAAAAAAAATTTAAAAAAAAGTTGACTCTTCTATTTTTATGTGAAGATAAAATAATAAATATATACAATTCTATTTAGACAACTCCCAAGCACAATACAAAATGAATAACATTAATATGAAACTTAACTGCTCAGCTGCTTAGTGTCAGTATATTTTTTTTAAAAGAGGTTTACCAGCTCTTTACATATATGTTATTATCTTTGTTGTTTTGTGCTGTCAAGTCCCCTGCAACGCATAGCAACCCTATGGACAATGACTCTGAACTTTGCCCTATCCTGAGCCTCTAATACACCTACTCCCATTACCCCAGTTACTGTGTCAATCCATCTCATCTACAACCTTCTTCTGTGCTGTCCCTCCACCCTTCCAAGCATGGTGTCCTTCAAGGACTGGCCCTGCCTGGCAACATGCCCAAAAGTATGAGAGACGGAGCTTCAAAAAACCAAATCTTTTTCAACCCTAACAACATGTTACAGTGAACAGTAAAGCTAGTATGTCAACCCCTACTTAGATTAAGAGTTCTGGTGGTACAATGGTTAATAGGTTGGCTGTTAAGTGAAAGGTCTGTGGTCTGAACCCACAAACCCTGTAAAACTCTGCTAAAGGGTTACTGCAATTTGAAGTGGATTTGACAGTACAACACTCCTAAAACAACCAATTGTTTCTCAAAGCCATTCTCTCGGTTTAAGTCTTCTTCAAGTTACTTGGACCACTGTGGTAATTTTGCCTATTCGGGCCTTGCCTCTTTTCAACCATCTTTTACAGGTGATACTATTTCTAGAGAAAAAATACATCCCTTACATACCCCTTTCTTGATTTTGAATCATTAAGTGTCTCCCTGCTCTGTTCTTTTTTTTTTTTTTCTCCCTGCTCTGTTCTGATGACTGCCTCTTGGTCCAAGCATAGGTTTCACACTCGCACAATCAAATGTTCTGAAATTCCCATTCTTCTCAGAGTCAGCCATAGCTTGCTATGATCCATACAGTCAAAAGCCTTTGCATAGTCAATGAAGCACAGATAGACATTGTTCTGGTATTCTCTGCTTTCTGCCAAGATCCATCTAACATCAGCTATAATATCCCTAGTACCACGACCTCTTCTAAATCCAGCCTGCACATCTGGCAGTTATCTGCTGACTTATTGTTCCAAACATTTTTGGATAATTTTCAGCAGAATCTTGGCTTGTATGTGCTATCAATGATATTGTTCGATAATTTCCACACTCTGTTGGGTCACCTTTCTTTGGAATGGGAACAAATATCGATCTCCCAGTCAGTTGGCCAGATGGCTGTCCTCCAGATTTCTTGGCACAACTTAGTGAGCACATCCAGGGCAGCGTCTGTTTGTTGAAATAAATCAATTGGTATACTGTCAAGTCCTGGAGCCTTGTTTTTGCCAATTCCTTCAGAGCAACTTGAACTTCCTTCTTCATCACCATAGGCTCTTACTCACATGTTATTTCATGAAATTCCTCTGTGTCAGCCA